TCAGTGCTCTATTTGTTGGTACTCGCCGATACTGATACCACAATTTTAGTAATGGATCGGGGCCCCGCCCGATACTCGTATCGGGGCAACACTAGCCTTCACGCCTCAACATAATGAGAGAAGTCGTTTATGACAGAGGAAATATTCTGCTCTATCATGCCTTTTTTTTTTTTTACAGCGGGTCCACAGAGGATGTTTCACTTTTATTAGATCCAAGGAGACCAATCAGCCTTGTTTACAGTCTGTATGTTTGCCACATTTACGCATCTGGTTCAAGTAATATGCCCACAGAGAGGCCAGATGTGTAAAAAAAAAGCTACTTTGTGTGTTTCTGGTGGCAGAATTGATTGTCAGGTTTTGTTTTCCCCCTTTTATTTACACCTTATCCCCTGTTCCCATTTCCGTCAGTCACATCCAATTCCCTGGTCTGCCTTTCTCTTAACTCAGTGTCACGTCTGTCTGCTTTGAGTACACTTTCTGTGGAGCTCTTTTCATCTCAGGTAGTTTTCCTTTGATCTGCTGTATCTGAACCCCATAATGAAAGATCGAATGAGAAAAAAATGGGGAGTAATGTTGAATTTCAGGCTCATCCTTTGCTCCTTATTCTCAGATCATTATGTGATATGGGAGAACAGAAAAGCTGAGCAGCTAAAAGAGGAGCATGAAAACCTCTTTTATTCTCAGGACATTTGCTCAGCACTTCTAGACAACAGCTGCACCGAGGTCTGCTCCCATTCTCTAGACTTTTCTCCACTTCTCACATTTTGCTGCAGCTTTTAACTTTACCTTACTTTTAAACATTAGGAACTTTGATTGATCTGTAACAATGAATAATGCAGATTGACATTTTGGACATTAAGCAAGAAAATAAAGTTATTCTGAGATAATATTAGCCTCACATCTTTTATTAGAGTGACTATACAACCAACCTTCCCCTTCTTTAAAATGTCAGCTTTTTGCAGCTCAAACGAATGAGATAATGTATTTAAGAAGCTTTAAATAAAATAAAACATATATAGCTAAAATTAAATGTAGAAACAAATGTAAAATGATAAAAAAATGTCACAATAGCCTTATTGCAAATGTGTTGATAAACTGAGTTATTAGAGGATTTTTTTTTTTATGCACTCAGAGCTGATATTCAGATTATATAGTGAGGGATTGCGATTCGGTGAGTTGATGCAATCAACTGGTTGTCCTTAGTAAACTTATAATCAATCTGGCTGTATGATCTGGTTGAACTGTAAAGTGCCTTGAGATAACATGTGTTGTAAATTGGTCCTTGACTAGATTTGTTCATTTTTTTTACTGGTATGCAGAAAGGTATTAAAATTCACAGCATTCTTTATGCATTACACAAAAACTATTTAGAAAAGATATTAGGATCAGCCATTTCAGTAAACCTGGAAATCTCTTTGCAATTGGATAAAAACTGATGCGGTTGTCATGATCCTGGCGCTTGTGGCTGGCTTGATTGCTCATTCCATTCACCTGTTTAACTCTGCCCGGTTTCTCATTACGACTGCAAGCGGTGGACAATCTCCCTTTCTTCTGGGATCGGACTGGACTTTGAACCTAGACGAGGCCGTCTTTTACAGTTGCTTTTTCTATCTCTGCTTCTGTCTCCCTGAACCCCAGTCGACCTCAGCAGATGGCCGCTCACACTGAGCCTGGTTCTGCTGGAGGTTTCTTCCTGTTAAAAGGGAGTTTTTCCTCTCCACTGTCGCCACAAGCATGCTTAGTGTGCTATGTGCATGTTTTCATAGCCACCTTTTCTGAACTATACTGTGATTTGTAGATTTGCTTTTGGGGAGGTTGTGGTTGATCTACGAGCAGCACTCGACCTGCTGAACTTTGGTGAACAGCGTCAACAGCTTAAAACTTTGACTGAACCCTGAGTTTTAGAGGACATGTTTACTGAGTACCTTGTCTTGTTTTCCCCCCTGTGTAGTCTCAGCTGGGACCACTGATTCCAATAAATAGCGATGGAGAACGCTGAGACTGCAGAGTGGGTTGAGATTTGTAAACTCCGCAGTCTCTTCCAACTCTCCTCGCGAGTAAACTAAATTAATTGTCTCTGTGCCTTCTTTCTTTTCCTGCATGCATGTATGATGTTTTAGGTGCTTAGACCTGACACTTTGTGTGAGGGATTGCATTCGAGTCAATGAGTCGATGTAATCAACTGGTTTTCCTTTGATAGAAAACTTTGAATCAATTTGACTGTATGATCTGATGAACTGTAAAGCCCCTTGAGATGACATGTGTTGGGAATTGGCGCTATAGAAATAAACTGAATTGAATTGAACCTGGTCAGTGCCTTTTTGCTCCTTGTCATGATTAGCCCAACATTCCAGTCACTGGCCTGTGTTTTCTACCTCTGCAGTGAATTCAGTTATCTGCCCCGCCGACGATCAGCTGCTCGCTGAGTTATTTGTTCAAAATAAAGCTTGTTGAAAACTGTCCTGAACTGTCTATCTGAATATTGGGTCCAAGTTTCTGAGGTCGTTACAACAGGAACTATCTGCAGAAGATGCCACAAGAGTGAAAGCAACACTGAAGGATCTGCAGAAATTTCTAGTTGGTACTTTTCAAATCCGGTCCAATGTTTGATGTCTATTCTAAGGAGAATAACTGAATGAAGAGCCTGTTCCTCCAATAAACATCTCCAAACTTATGTAAATTCTCCTAAGGTATGTTGAAAAACGTGTTTTACAATAATAAACCCCCTGAGAACAATATGCCAACAGGGAAATCATGTCATGGTTACTTCCCTGATCAAACTTGACTTTCTGCACTTTTTTTCACCACAAACCTTTAGGATTCCACTACAAAGCTCAGGAAGTCTGATTTTATCTGTAAGCATTGCAGTCAGAGCAAAGGTGGAAATCAACAGAAGAATGGAATTTGCAAATGTTGGGAAAGGACTAATCCAATGTCGGGGTTACATTTTGGGGGGTTGGGGCGACAGTGGCGTTGGATGTAGGAGTTTGCCCTGAAATCGAAGGGTTGACAGTTCAAGCCCCGACTCCAACTTTCGGTGTCGTTGTGTCCTTGGGCAAGACACTTCACCTGCATTGTCTACTGATGGTGGTCAGAGGGCCCGGTGGCGCCAGTGTACGGCAGCCCCGCTTCTGTCAGTGAGCCCCAGGGCAGCTGTGGCTACAATGTAGCTTGCCACCATCAGTGTGTGTGTGTGAATGGGTGAATGAATGTAGTGTAAAGCGCTTTGGTCAAGTCTCCTAACTTGAATAAAGCTGCTATATAAGTACATGCCATTTACCATTTTACAGAAATCACAAATTTGCAAAATAGAGTTTGGCATATATTGCCAAGTCAGTGTAGGATTTTGATGTGCTCCCACATAACAAAACTAAATTAGCAGCTGTGATAAAATGTGTTTTTGCATCTTTATGTCAATTACAAAATCTATATCAATAGATTTCCTAGTTTTATTTGAACTGTGAAGAAAAAAATGTGACATTAAAAGTGTAAAGAGTTTTCAAGTCTTTATGGTCTCCTTTTTATATAAATAGAACTGGATCTGTCATATCAACTGCAAATGAGCAATGATTTAACCATCTTTAATTTAGAATTTTAGCTTTCTATATACATGCCTCTTTTTCTTCCATTCACATTAGTTTTCATAAAGGAGTTCAGTTGGTGTGTCAGTCGTTTGTGAAATCAGCCTCGCTTTGAATGCTACTGTAACAAGGATTTTCTGTAGATTAAATTAGATGATGTTTACTCAGAGTAAACCTGCTCATCTGCAACAGCAAAACATCCCTGCTTTCCAACCCAGTTAAGTTAATTCAACAGACGAGAGGAAGGATGACTGGTGCTGTGCCAAACCGTGAAGAGGAGGCCCTCTGTGGATGTTGAATCTTTGATGGTGGGAAGAAAGTGTGTGGAGGTTGGAAATCTCTTTAACATCCCAGTGAAGAGGGGCTGTCCGAGTGACTGTACTACTTCTTTTTTATTATTTATTTTCCTTTTTGGCCACAAATATCACTGTTACTTTACTTAAAAAGGATTACCTTGGAGAAAGGCAGCTCTGTGGATGTTCACCTTAACAAACATATTCTGGGATCCCATCTTTCATTTGGTGAAAGTGTATAACTCTTTTATTATACTAGAAAAACTTTAAACTTTATTGGATGGATAAGTTTGCATAAAAAACATTTTCACTTTGTTTATAATGTTTTTAAGTACAGTAACTATTTTCCAATCCTAAATGTTTTTGTTTGTGTGTTTAATGAGATTTATGTGCATTCTGAAATTTTTAGGCTGTAAAAATGCTAATGTGATTAAACCAGGACAAACTGAAAGGTTTTTACGTTCCTTTGCAGGACCTGATCTTTCTTCCCTTCTTCATATTCTGTTAGTTAGGTCTCAGTGGCCGTTGGCGCGTCTCTTCAGGGTTTAGCACTAATTATTTAAATGTTCTACATGATTTCTGGCAGCCAACCTACAACCACAGCAGAAGTTCAGACTTCCTCTGGCTCGGAATGCCGTGGAGCATCGCAGCAGCTCATATGAGAGATGAGTGTAAATGAGAGGGGGGATAGATGGAGTAGTGCCTCAGCCAAAAGCACATCGATTCTCCACCCCTTACAGCTTCCTTACTACCTCCTCCTCCTCCTCCTTCTGTCTGATAAATGCCTTTCCTCATTTTGGTTTACAGTGGCGCTGTGCAGGGTGCATACAGAGTGGCGCTTGCAGAAAAACATCAATAAATAGTGAAGTATTCTTCCCCTGTTGGGCGTTTTGCTCCTTAGCTGTAGTCAGTAGGGGAGAGATGCAGGAGGTAGTTTAAAATTTCATTTCATGCCTTGTGTGACTATTGATTTCTTGTAGATTTTAGCCCAAACCTGTCATTATATTGTCAAATGGATAAGTGCTCTTTGTACTTATCTCGTAAAAAAAGGAGCACAGGAGATTTCCCCGATTCTTCTATGTGTAAATGAACAAAAAGGTAAGTGTAGTTGCGTGTGGCTATTTACTCTTAGTGCCCTGGGTCTCGGCCTCCTTTGGGGTTCGGAAGCGCAGTGGTTCGCTCAGCGGGCTCGTCCCGAACATGCTGATGGACTGGACATGCACAATGTAATCTGTCTCCTCTTCCAAGTCCCATAATGCACAGGAGCGTGTGGTGGTGTTGACTTCCTGGATTAACCGCAGCATGCGCACGTCTTTCTTCTGTCGGCGTAGCAAAAACAAGGGGATGTTGATTAGACATGAAAACATAAAAGCAAAAAGACAGAAACCTTAGAAACATGGAGAGACAGCAAGGACATGCCGCTAACACCTGCTGAGTGCCAGGTGGGCTTTTGTATATTGATTTTTCATGTCATCTTTTTATTGTGGAAAAAGCAGAGTTGTCTCATTTGCTAAAACATCTCTTCAGATAATTAAAGTAGCACATCTGAGAATTCCAGAAAGCATGAATAAAAGTTATGCAGACATGAACAAAATATATACATATTTATGCTGTATAAATCAAAATATATTCAGATTTTAATGCATTGGCATAATCATACTTTCAATTTAAAAATATCTATTCAGTGATGCAAAAAAAATCTTTTATAAGAAGACTAAATTTTTTTAATATAATGTCTCAGGTTGGTTTGAATTAAAACTGAGGATAAATACTTTGCAAAACAGCTCATTTGGAGGACTATGCTGGACCATCGGTGATGCTGTGTTGGCTGCATATAGAGCAACAAAAATCTGATGGTCTAACAAATCAATGTTTTTTCATTCACAGCCTTGAATCCTACAGAAAGATAGGGGTGTTGTTAATACTACTGAAAGAATGATCTATTTAAAGGCTTTTTACTCTCACTACAAGTGTAACAGGAGGACAGATAAAATATATATGGGTTTTCAAGATTAACCAAACTACCTATGATACATAGGCAAATCCCTTCACCGATGCATCACATTTAAACCCCAAGCTAAGTATGAGTTAAACCTCAGTCTAACTGAGTTAAACTGGTCAGGATACAGTTTAAAGAAAAGCTAGGATAAGAAAAAAATATCCAAAGCTAAAAAGAAAAGCATAAGACATCAGGCCAACACTTTGCAACCTCTCTGATCTGATGGGACTAATATATATATATATATATATATATATATATATATATATATATATATATATATATATATATATATATATATTGTTTTTTTGGGGGCCAAAATCTGAAAAAAACTATTTACTTCATATTTAACACACCAACAGCATGGTCAAACACGGTGGTGGCAGCATAATGCTGAAAAATGTTTTAAGAGATGTTATCCATTTGGTCTGGTTGAGTTTGAGTTGTTTCGCAAAAATAAACTTTTAAATAGCCGGAGTGCAGGGGGCGCTCCTTAAAGACCTTCTATAACTGTTGTGGCCTCAGCATCTTCTATGGAGCTGTCTGTTGGAGCAATAGCTTATCTGTAGCTGAGAGAAAGCGTCTGGATAAGCTGATCAGGAAGGCCAGCTCTGTGATTGGATGCCCTCTGGAATCAGTGCAGGAGGTTGGAAACAAAAGGATCCTAACTAAATGAACCTCTCTGTTGGATAATGTTTCCCACGCCATGCATGAAGCTGTTGCAGAACTGGAGAGCTGCTTCAGTATCAGACTGCTGCACCCTAAATGCACCAGGGAGCGTTATCACAGATCCTTCCTCCCAGCCTTAAGACTCAATAACCACCACTGTTCCCAACAACCTCAATAAGTTGTTACATTTATGCTGATTTTGTACAGTTTCTATCTTAGACAGTTAAATAACATGCTACTCTCATTTTGCACATCTCTGATGTTGCTGCTATATATCATTACTGTAAAAATATCCAAAGCTGTATAATGGTTATTTATTCTCCAGGTGCACAGTTTTTATATTGTTAAAACACTAGGCAGTATTTTATTGTTTATTTTTAACTATTCATTTTTGTTTTATTCTTATACATTTTTCTAAGGTCAATATTTTTCTGACCATTTTTCTATACTTTTGCTGCTGTAAACACCAGAAGATTTTCTATTCTATTCTATTCTATTCTATTCTATTCTATTCTATTCTATTCTATTCTATTCCATTCCATTCCAGAAATACATAGGTATAATCACAACTGAAAGGGGAATTATAAATGACTCTCTCACAAATGCTCACCTCACTGCTGAAAAAAAGAGTTGTGTTCACCCACTTCACAATATGTGCCAGAGAGGCACATATTGCACCATAAGTTTCCAGTAAGATATGAAAATGTGTGTTTGTGCTGCAGTAAAATGTGCAAAGGCTTTTGGGGAGCACTGTAGCTCCGAGTCGACAATCATGCGAACATTTGCTCCAATAACCATCAGGCTGCAGCTTCATATTTAATAGAGCAAGTGAACAATGCAGCAGAACCTTTTCATTTCTAATCCTTTCAATAATTTATAGCACTTAGGCTTCCTCAAAGTCCCAAACTGTTCTTTGCAAAAATGCCCAAGCTTGTTAGTGAAAACAGTGTTATTCTGACTGATGGTGTCCTGACAGTTGGTGTTAAATTGTATGCTGGTTAGACTATCGATACACCTCGGCCTCTTTTTGAAAACCTCATCTTCTTATCTTTGTTGTGCTTTTTTCCAGTGTTGTTGTGTCGTACACATTCTGTTGCTCACCTGCTGTGTGATGGCAAAGCCAATGACGGGGTCTCCCTCGGGGATGTCCCATGACACCACAGCAGAGTTTGCTTTCACTTCCCTGATGGTCACATTGATGGGAGGCGACAGGCTATCTGCAAACAGTGACATGGAAAGAAAAGCCTTTCATTTACTCCGTAATATAAAGTAATTTTGTGTTTCTATGGTCTGCTGTAAAAACATATATGGGAGATTGACAGGTTATAATCTATCATGTAAAAAAACCCACCAAACTTAGATTTGAACAGTTAAAGCAGGGGGGTTAAATTATCTGTATTAAGTGGATAGGTTATGCAAAGATTTTAATATTAAAATTTTTCGTTTATGGTGGATTAAAAATGACCTTTGGCACATACTTTTATCTATTTTATTTTCTGTTCTCCTTCTGTTTTTACCAGCTTTATAAATGTAAGTAAAATACTTTTTTATTGAACTCAAACCTCAGTAAAATCGTCCCGTGGTGAGGATGGAGGTTTTGGACTGGGCAGGTCTGAAACAGGGCTGCTTACACAAGCAGAAGTTGGTTCAGAATATTTTTGAAAAGCTAAAGAGAAACACATCTAAAATCCTTCAACAGATTCACTGCGGCAAACAGAAGACTTGGGAAAAAAACAAGAAGACCAATTCCTTACCAATAAAATGCAATAAAATAACACAGAAAGAGGGGATAGTGCTGAGATTAAGACATCTATCAACATTTTCTGGGATTTGTAGAAAAGAATCAGTCACTGTAAACTTGAACGATCACTAAAACTTTAATCTAGTGGCTATGTGTAGGAAACGTATCATTTCTAGCCTTAAACTGTTGCTGCCGAGGCCAAAGTGTCAGGGTTCTGCCCTCTGCTTAGGTTTAGTTTTAGTTTGTGTTCTGTGTCTTTGTAGTTGATTTCTACCAGTGCTGAGTTATTTAATCACTCTCTGTAGCCACATTGTGCTTGTTTCCTTTCCCCTTGGCTTCCTCCTAGTTGCCTACAACTGCACCCAATCTGCTGATTAGCCTGTCTTGGTTTAGTCTCCCAATATATAAACCACCTCTGCAGTCACTCAGTGCTGGTTTGTTGTGTTGTCTTCCCTCGTCTCTGGCTTCCCATGTGAGTTTTTCCCTGATGTAATCTCATTTTTGGTTCTCAATTTTGGTATTTCTGCCTCAGTTGCCAATTAAATCTGCAAGACTCACCTCTACCTCCCAATCTTTGCAATTGGGTCCTTAAAAACCTCCAGCCAACCTTGAAACAAAGTGCTGTCAATGTACGAGGGCCATAAACCAAGAGAACAAATTATCCTATTGACTGTCGCGATCAGTCCATGCGACATAATTCAATTCAGTTTATTTATATAGTGACTATTCACAACGCATGTAATCTCAAGGCACTTTACAGAGATAATTCAACCAGATCATACAGTCAAAGGAAAACCAGCTGATTGCAAGATAAGGCAAATTTATTTGTATAGCACAATTCAGTACAAAGACAATGCAAAGTGCTTTACGTGATTAAAATATAAGAAAATAAAACAGAATCAGAGCAAGTAGAAGAAAAATAAAAAATAAATAATAAAAAATGCAGAAATAAGAAAGAACATTAAAAACAGTTGGACTAAAGAAAATAAAAAAAAATGAACTAATGATGTTTCAGTTGAAATTTTTAACTAGAACAGTCGAAAGCAATCCTAAACTAATGTGTTTTTAGACTTGATTTAAAGGAGCTCAGGCTTTCCGCACTTTTACAGTTTTCTGGAATTTTGTTCCAGATAAGTGGAGCATAGGAACTAAACGCCGCTTCTCCATATTTAGTATGCATCGACTACTTGACTCTCAGCAATCCCTCACACCAAGCATGCTTGTAGCAACAGTGGAGAGGAAAAACTAAATTTTAACTGGAAGAAACCTCCAGCAGAATGCGGAGTTAGGAAGAGATAGGGCTCTGACTGAGGCATCCTCAGCTCATACATTTATACTTTACAATTTCCCAACACACACACTCTCCCCAGAGGAACCAACCCACTAACCTGACTCTGTCAGATGGATTTGCTGGATTTGCTCCGCATATCCATCTGGAAACCTTCCGTTGAAGTAATTTTGGGAAGGGGCGAAAAAATACTGGTTAGCTGATTGGCCTATGTTGGTGATAGACGGGCCAAATAAACCAATCAGATCAACGAAGCATATGACGTACTAACAGAGCGACGACGAAAACACAACCACAAGCCAGGCTACTCTTAACCTGACTCCGCCAGATGGATTTGCTGAGCCTCCAGAGCAGTGTTTTGCTCTTCTTTCAGTGAAGAAATACTCTGTAATTCCGATAAAACTTGCTCGATAGCCACGCTAACGCTAGTTTCATCAGCTGAAGCCGCCATGTTCTTTAGACTGAACTGTCGCGCTTCTCGTTGCGTCACACCTCAACCCGACTCAAAGCCAACGCTGATTGGACGTTCGTTTGGTGAACGGCTCCAAATTTTCTTTAACGGAGAGACTCCAGACTGATCTGCGAGTGAAACCTTGAAAGCTCGCGAGATCAGGATGGTCTCACAAGGCTACCAACCCACCCCCTGTATAAAGAACTTTCTCACACTTGAACAGTGAAGCCAAACGACTTGAATTCATCAGGGCCATTCCCTATCAGGTAAATATATCTTTCACTGGCCACATGGATCCTCTCAAAACAGCAGTCCTCCACTTCATTCCATGAAGGAGGCTGTATAAATTATTATTATCTCTAATGATCTTCGTTTGGAGCCTGTGAGGCTAAGAACAGACATATCTCAATAATTTTTACTCCACAAAAAAAGGCTCAGTGTGAGCGGCCATCTGCCGAATGCTATAAACGCTGTATTTAATACGTTTAAATTTATTTAAGAGTTTCTTTGCATATTTGGTTATTATCCTAACATGCTTCTCAATTTCTGAAATGTCCATTGTTTTTTTTTTTCATCACAAAATGTTTTAACATGACCTTAGAAGGTTATAGTGTCATTTATAAAGGACTTTTAACAGTTTCATCATTATTAGTAAAAGCCTTTTTTTAATTATGAAAATATATTTCTGAGCTAATCTTTACTGTCACAAATGATAGGCATCATTGGTGTCTCAAGTGTGACTTCTGACTCATTATAAAAATACCTCCAGTTGTGTTTCTCTACAGTGTTTTGAAACTTGGTGTCAACTTCCACACCTGCGCTTTAATTAGGGTCGCACTCTACAAGAGCTGCGAATAATAATTTGCCTTCATTACATAATTAGTTGTGAGATAATGTGTTACTCTGGGTGCACTTTGGTGGCCTCGGCTGCTGGAGACTTCGGGTCTGTAATTATGAAGCTCAAGGCTGCCCGCGTTTGATGGTAACAGAGTGTAGATCACATTATTAAAGGACCTGCAGCTAAGAGAAGGAACAAAGGATCTTTTAAAGGGTCTGCTATAAAGCAGGGGGCCAATAATGAACTTTTAGGCTTTCATTTTAATAGATCAGACTCTAAGAAGGAGAGAAAAGAAAGTCAAGATCAGTGTGGGCCATTTCACATTGAAGTTGATCCTTGCATCTCTGTTTAACGGTAGCTTGCCTCCATTCTTGTGAAACACGTGCTCCTCTCCTTTAAGCTTTGATTGATATTTGTTTTGTGGAGCTGAAAGGTGAATAAAGACGAGGACTTTTAAGCGAGGCCTTTGACGGCTCGTAAATCTTATCCAACCGATCAAATGGAATCAATGAGTCACTGAATAGGTTAACGCTCACTTGCCCTCAGACCCCCCCACCACCTTCAGTGTTGGTAATTACAGGACAATAGGCTGTTCCAGCACTCCTCCATGTACTGTACATGAAAAATAACAGGGAGCTCAATCCAAAGCAGCCTCTTTTCCTTTTCTTTTGATGCCTGTGGCTGACGTTTTGATGAATGACCTGACTAACGGCGGATGACAGGAAGGAGACTCGCTGCATCTCTTCATCTGTAAAAGGGAACGACTTCGATGTTTGTAGTGGAATTGCTTTTGTTTACTCTCTGCTGTTTACTTGGTTATCCTGGGGGACGGGTGTCCGCGGATCGTGAGCTAAATCATACAAATCATAAATGAAGCGAAGTCACATCCCTGTGCGGGTTCTCACTTGATTCTGTGTTTTCCTTCCTGCAACACATTTACTTCTCTGCCAATGACACCATTACTTAGTCCCTGCATGCTAAGCTGCTGTTTGAAAGTAATAAATGTGGTTTGTTTTTGCACATAGAAGGAGCAGAAATATTTTTCACTTTACATTACAATCCTAATATTTAAGATTTGAGGCAAATTGTTCAGTTTCAGCCACTCAAGCTTTTATCAGTAATGTTTAGCTTCTTAACTCTAGCTATCCATAACAACGACATTAGTCTGAAACAGTTAACCAATTCAAGCTTCCTAGTGTAATATAATCAGTGATGGGACTACGTTACTAACACCGTTACCTTGTTTTAGTAACGAGTAATCTAACTAATTACTTTGACTGTAACTATAACGCAGTTACCATTGCAGACACCCCGTTACTGCGCGTTGCTCAGGTCGCACAATGAACCTTTTTTCATGATAGGACTCGTGCGCGCCTTGTCATGAGAGAGTGGAGGATGAGAATGGCTGATGTATAGTGAGATTCCGTCTGTCAATTGGGTAGGTGGGTGTTTCTGCTGGCGGGTGTTAACGTACATCACACACAGAGAGATGGAGAGTGAGGATGACTCCAGCAGCAAAACAGCGTTTTCCACATGGAAATACCGGTGTTACGTCGAGCTGCGTTTCCCCATCAGATACGGTTTCCTCTGCATCTCCGCACAGCGCAGGCGGCACGAGTCACCGCGCACGCGACAGGAAACGCGCATGCTCGCTAAAGGGGCGCAACAGTCGCCCTGTGCTCGCGCCACAGGGGAACTACGGAGAGCGTGAACGATCAAATGATTAACCTGACAACAGCCAGAAATGATAGCCTATATGGAGAAAGGGAGGAATCTGGATGGATGGATGGATGGACGAATGAATGAATGAATGAATGGATGGATGGATGGATGGATGGATGGATGGATGGATACTCTGCCTTTTCAACCTACTGTATTTTTTATTTTAAACATTATTTG